TGATAAGACTCCATATATTCTATGGAGGATCTCTATAGATTTTTGTTATTGAACTCTACACCGTTTAAAAGTTATCGTAGTCGATCAGATTCTGTTTTTGTTTTCTTGTAAAAATTAGCGTCACTATTTTGAAGTGAAAACTTCTTTAGCGGCGTTTAAAGCAATTCGTGCAAAATTATTCCCTAACCATTTCAAAATATCAAAAATGCACAACATTAATATTCAAGTTTTCACTTATGCCGGCACTCCCGGAGTGCAACCCGTCGTTTTTTTAATTCTTTCTTGTCACAATATCATCCGTGTATTTTTAACATAATAAGCCTGTGAGGCGTGCACTTTTGGATTTTCCAAAGTAAAAGAACATAATATACGTATAATATAATCTCTATAAAATGTCACACTACTTGGCACAATCCCCCTTCTGTGTTTCTCTCATTCTAAGGAAGTTTTGAGGGCAAGGAGGGTTTCACAGCGCTGTCCTAATTAATGTTTGTGGACTTCATATACCCTCAAAATATTTTATATTGTAATCAAACGAGCAACCTACATTCAGGAATGCGTTGTTCTGAGGCTAAGTTAGAATGCCTCGTCTCCAGTACAAAGAGTCCCCGATTATCTACACTCACCATACAAAAGATAGCTGCATTAATATCATATTACGCTGGTATTCTGGAAGAGCGTAATTTTTCCCCAGTCAAGCTGGCTCATTCGTACTACAATCATAATATAGATTACAGTTATAGTACACCCGATGAGTAAGATGAGGACTAAGATGGAATACGTCGTTTACAGTAAAATGGGTCTCTGGTTCTCTACACTTACCATAAGGAACACACTAGCATTAAACATTTTACGCTGGTATTCAAAATATCAAAAATTTTAAAAATTAAAAAAGATGCAATATATATACAGTATGTCCGGTCACGGACTAGCGATATTTTAGGTACTTATAATACAGCTATTTTAATATAAAAATACACTACACACTGAGGTCTAATCCCCTCCCCCTCTATTTGGCAGCCATTTTGTTTTTCTCTTGAGATATTCTCTACGCGTTTACGAAAAAAGTCATATCTCAAGTTTTAGTCTCACTGAGATAAAAATTAACTCATTCGGAGGCCAATAATATTGTTTATCGTTTACATTATCAAAATTTTTGTTGACATACTTGTAACTTTGAAGAAAAAAAATTAACTTCAAATAAATATCAAAAAAAATATGCTAATCGCCAAATTATTGTAAATTACTGCAAAAAACAACCCCGTTCACTTTATATATATATATAGATCGACAGATTTTGAGTTAAGCTACAATACAACATAAAGCTTACAGCTGTATGTTTATTACTTTAATTATTGTTGTTTGAATATAGCATATGCGCAAACACAAAAAGGCCTTTGTTAAATGACACGGACACACTGTATATATATATATATATATATATATATATATATATATGTGTGTGTAATATGCATTTATATATAACTATATAAATACAAGCCCTAGAGCGCACTTTAGCGAGTATGAACAATCTTGAAATTATAAAAGCGACGCTATTAGACAATATAAGACACGCCCACTGATTGTTTTTATTACACTTGCAATACACGGTTAACCGTATAGTGGTCGTGTAAGAATATCCGCTATCCCGTATCATCCTGTGGGAGTTGTAAGAGACGACAGAGGGAAATTTACAACAAATTTACAAACAACCCAAAATAATAAGAAACTGCGGATGCCAAACCGCCTGGTAAGCGTGGCAACTATGGCAGAATCTCCTCTATGAGACAATCTATGAGGGAGGCTTATGTTCAGTCGTGGACTTTTATAGACCGTAATTAATGTAATAGATTAATTGATATTTTATTAAAAATTATGTTTTCCCTAAGTTGTTTTAAAATTTAACGATGTCGTTTTCTTTAGTATGAATAATTCTTAATTCAACATCGTGATAGTTGGACTATTAAATCTTTTATTTTGTTATATAACCTCTATTGCCTGCTATTTTATCACAGTTAAAAGATATAAAAAAGCGTAATAAAATCAGGTATATGTTTTTAATAGAATAAGGGTGACAAGCGAGCACACAGTCCACCTGATGATAAGTGTATGCTGTCGCCCATAGACATCCACATTTATCCTCAATTAAGAATCAAAACACAGATGCGTTGCACCCCTGAGGACTAAGATGGAATGCCTCGTTTCCAGTATAAAAGGGTCTCCAGTTCTATACAGTCACCATATGAAACACAGCAGTATTAAGCTGCTATTTAACGCTGGTATTCTGTGAGAGTGTGGTCCTGAACGTGAGCCGATCCATCCGTGTCCTATACTGCGTAGAATTGATACTATATATAAAATGTAACTTTTATACATGGTAGAGCCACGCTGCTGTGTTTTTTATGGTGAGTGTATAAAAGAAAAGAACTGGAGACCCCTTTTACTGAAAACGAGGCATTCCATCTTAGTCCTCTGGGGTAACAACGTATCTGCATTTTGATTGTTAATCGAGGATAGATGTAAATGCTTATCGGCCACAGCATCAACTTGCAGTCGGATGGACTGTCTGCTCGTTTGTCGCACTTATTCTTCTTTCATTTGGTTTCAGTTTATACCTTTCGTCATGAGGAGTATAAGTCTACCTATCCCAAAACTTGAAATGATTATACCACCAGTGGGTGTTGCCAGTGGATAACATATTGATCTGGGATATGCTCCTTCACTGCTGGCTCTATGAGGAACCTCAAGGTAGGACAGCAAGTTACGGAGAGAGCTATGCTCAGAGTTTCTCTGCGAGATAAAACGGAGTAAGCTCTTTTCTTGAAGGTCCCTAAATCGTATTGTTTCTGAAAATCGCGGGTGGTAAAAAATTCCACAGAGAGGTCGAACGCGGAAGAAAACTCCTTTTGAAACGTACAGTGGTGGACCGCCAAGCATCTAGATGGTGTGGATGGTATCGGGACGTAGGATGAGTGTAGAGAACCGGAGACCCGTTTTACTGGAACCGAGGCATTCCATCTTAGTCCTCAGGGGAAACAACGCATCTGCATTTTGGTTCTTAATCATGGATAAATGTAGATGTCTATGGGGCACAGCATCCACTTATCATCAAGTGGACTGTGTGCTCGTTTGTCACCCTAATTCTATAACAAAAAATAAAAAAATTGTTCACACATTTCCTCACTAAATGGAATGACGACCCACTAGATGTATGATTAGAGATGCAGAGAGTTAATTGATGCGGGTGATTCGGGACCCTTGTTTGTGGTATTCCTTGGGGGAGGCCTATGTTCAGCAGTGGGCTTAATATGGGCTACTATGATGTTGATGATGAAGTATCAACATACCTATCTATACTATTAATATTTGAGTTGGAATAGTGATATCTATAAATATATACCTAATCCTTCTGTACGTGTGTTTGTCATTGAACTACTAAACTCCTGGACCGATTTTGATGAAATTTTTAGTGTCCGAGTCTCTGGATGACTTAGATTCACAAGCCAATAGGTGGCGCTGTTGTCGAGATCCAGAAATAGCCCGTGTAAAGTCGGAGCGGATCTCTGGTTATTTATAAAATTTAAATAAGATCTAAAAGTAATAAAGCCTACAATCAAATCAATAACTGAATCGTTAACAATCTTACGCCAAGCAGATGGCGTTAGTGGATACTGAAGTGAAATTTTTGTTTTTTAAAGGGAAATATAATGTTAAATGGCTTAGCAAGATCCTTCGTTATGCCGAAAATATTGCAGCATTAATTTTGAAATAAATATATGGTAAAGTTGAGGATTATAGTTAGTGATTATGTTAGACGAAAACACGATTTCGTAAAATTTTCTCGATAGAAAAAAAAATCCAAAGTTACCTCCAAAATAAACAATAAACCGCTGTTATTCATAAAATACTTTAAATAAGATCATGAAACTTTGCATACTAACTGAACTAACTATAAAACAGTGCTTATGTTATTTACTTTTTTTAAATACCATTATTTTCACTGTAAAAAGAAATTACCTAAACTATCGGCGTCTTGAGCTTGATTCCTGTCGTTCCGTTAGTATCGCTTAGGCTTTTGAAGGGAGAAGTTGTGTCGCTTACGATCAGAATAACATTACGCAATAGTACGACGTAAAATTAAAATGGGAAATAACCGTGATAAAAATAAGAAGCGGCTGGCTTGGCTTTAAGAAAAAGGCATAAATATGATAAACCTAATGAAATAAGTGTCTAACGACCTTTCTACTTACAGTATTAGTGATTACAAATATTTCGGTACATAGCATACGACGCGCGGGGGAAGTGGGGGCGAAATTAGAATTTGAGCTGACTTACTCTAACCTCTTAATAGAGAAGTTAATAAAAAGTTAATTATTTGAAAAGTATTATATAGGGACGCCCTAGGCGAAAGTTTATCGACCAAATTGGCAATAAATTGATAATTTCCCAAATTGAGAGTATCCTTAACCGACGAGCTTGTATGCGTAGGTATATGGATGTAGGTAGAGGAGGCGAGAGAGGTGTGTCAGGATCGTGCCAAATGGAAGTCTGTAGTCTATGCCTACCCCTCTGGATGACAGGTGTGAGTATTTATGCATGTTATATTAATACACAAAATAATGCCTGAGTAAATATTTAAAATTTTTTTAATTCTTCTACTTTCATGAATGTCCATAGTTTGGTTGATCCATTTCTAATCTAATTAAGTAATATAAAATAGAACTAAGACAAGAAAAATAAACATAAGTCTTTAACCTTTTCTAGCAAATTAACTTCCCTCGCTATGAAATTTGTCAAATCTTTCACCTCAAGCTCAGTATGTATGTAATTACTCTAAGACCTCTAAAATGGCCAGGTGGCTGCAAAGTCGCGGTTACCCTTTGGATTAAATCATGTTCTATACAAACGAAGTCACGGATACTGCTAACATAAACATAATAAAATAAAAAACAACATTTCAAAATCCCAAATATTTATTGTCAGCCAGTGTTATTAGAAAGTTACAGAAAGGAAAATGTGTTACATGTGTAGCGTTCCGTTATCAGTGTTTTAAAAATATTTTTAAAAATATAGAATGTTTGTGAATATTTTCCAGAAAGCGACTTTACGAAGAAGTCGATTGTTGCGCTGTCAGAGCAATTTTTACTTGCAAAAGTTGTCAATTCTTGCAAAAAATATAGCGTGCCGCAACTTGACACCCATTCTGATAGTCTGGTGTACAGATCGATGTTCTTGAAGTATTCTGGACAGCGTTCTATCCTCTTTCTCTCAAGTTTGGACAAAGCTTTTATACATTCAGCCTCTCTAGCAGTAACGGGACAGGCGTTTTGCACGTCGGTTATGGGCTGCAAGTAAAATTATTATGAAATAACACCATTTATAAAAGAATATCGGTAGCTGGACGACCTGTCGAGCTAGAAAACATGGAATGTACCCGCCAAAATACGATCATCTGTGACAGAAATAAACATACGCCTAACAGTAAAGGAACACTCACCAAGTAATAATAGTACGTGCACTGCGGCTTGGTATTTTGTTATACGTAGTAGAGCCAAGCAGTTACGAGTGGGTCGGCTCGACCGGGGTAGGACCACACGCTTTGACAGAATACCAGCGTGAAAAAGGAACTTTATGCTGCTGTGTTTCGTATAGTGAGCGTAGAGAACCGGAGACCCTTTTTGCTTTTATACATTTAGAGCCGTGGTAGCTCAGATGGTTAGCGCTTGCTGTAAATTTCACAATACGCGAGCAAACCGGGTTCGATCCCCGCCGGCACCAATGAAATTGTTAATTGCAATTTTAAGTGCTGGTTTACCACGTGCTCGGCGGTGAAGGAAAACGTCGTGAGGAAACCTGCATGTCTGAGAAATAAGAAAAAAATATTTCGAAGACATGTGAAGTTCGCCAACACGCATTGGGGCAGCGTGGCGGACTATTCCTTGCCCTAAAACCCTCTCAGAAATGAGAGGAGGCCTGTGCCCAGCAGTGGGACGTATATAGGCTGTAACTTTACTTTTTACTTTTTACATTTAGTCTCGCACCATGTCAATGGCCTCAGTTTTTCAGCTCTATCCGTAATATGTTTCCGGCATTTCGCTAAGTATGTGAAACCCACGGGCCGGACCAAATTGGGTGATTGATTTTATTTTTCGTTTTCTTTTACTTCACCTACTGCGATACCTGGCTACTAGGTTCACCTCACACAATACTTTTTAATTAGGTAATTTTATAATTTTTTTACGTCGTTTCATATACAGAACTATTTTTCAAAGAGTAGCCAAATTTTAAATTTAAGTCCAAATATATAAATAATGATATACCATACTTGCAGTTTTTGAAAATACGAGTAAATAAGGCTTCTACTTTTATTTGAAATTATCCTTAATTGAGGGTGATTTATGGGCATGAACGTTTTTGCCTACCGATCGACCCTTACGAATGTGTGCGTGCGCAGTAAAATCAGTTAAAATAGTGCATAATCACGCATTTTGGATTTAAAAGATAAAATAGACAGAATGTATGAGATTTTTTAATTAATTTTTCTTTACCATTGCCTATATTACTTATTCTGAACCTTCTCTGCAAATTTGGCCGGTTATTGCAAAATAACGCTGTATAGTACACGTTATGAAAAATAAATAGATAGGTTTCTCTGTACAACATTCTCTCTCGCATATCTCATATCACGAAATGAATAATGTAATATGTCATGCATGCATTTTTATGTAATATTACTTATGTAATATATCAAATCAATATAAGTAAAAAAATATAAGTAAACATTTTTTATCAAATTAATATAAATATATACATATGGGTTCATTTACTTCCTTTGCCTAATGTATATATTTTAAGACAATCGTTTTTCACGAGTAAACTCCAGTTCACTCATCGGAGCACAATATTTGTTTATGAAAATAGTTTTCTGATACAGAGTTTATTGATTTTTTTAACCTCGAATACTTTCAGCCAGTTTGTCAGATTCATACCATCGCCAGTTATGTTTATAAATATACATTTATTATAGAAGTTCATGTTGCAGAAGTTCGATAAGATTATACTTGGTTATTTTTCAAAGAGTAGTAAATTTTATACTATATAAATAATGATATACCGTGACTGCAGTTTTTCAAAATACGAGTAAATAAGGCTTCTTACTCTATTTGTAATCATCCCAAATTGAATGCGATTTGTGAGCAACGAAGCTTTAGCTTATGTGCGCGTACGCAGTAAAGTAAGTTCAAATAGTGCCACCACGTAATCACCACGCATTTTGAATTTAAAACATAAAAAGGACAGAATATGTGAATTTTTTTTATTAAGTTCTCTTCACCATTTGCCTAAATTATTTATTATTAACCTTACCTGCAAATTTCGCTGGTTGTTGCAAAATAACAAGCACACAGTGACAAACAAGCATACAGTCCGCCTGATGGTAAGTGGATGCTGTGACCCATAGACATCTACATTTAACCTTGTTTGAGAATCGAAATTCTGATGCATTGTCACCCTTGAGGACTAAGATGGAATGCCTCGATTCCAGTAAAACGGGTCTCCGGTACTCTACACTCACTATACGAAACACAGCAGCATTAAGCTGCTATTTTACGCTGGTATTCCGTGAGAGCGTGCTACTTCCCAGGTCCAGCCGACCCATACGTGCTGCAACCATAATATAGCTGTAGTATGGCTCTACCACGTACAAAGTATTGTAAATACTTTGTACGTGGTAGAGCCACATACAGGTTGTATTGTATTACTACGTACATGTGTTATAAATATCCTATCGTAATTAATATATAATTAAAGTAAATTATTGTTGAGCATTTAAATATAATTATATTAAAATACTCAACAGTGAATATAACTTGTTATAATTTGATTGTAGAAATATAGTAAGATTTAATGGTATTTGTAATATATGTATACCTAAGGGTTGAATACAGCGAACATCATTATTGAAGATCTATTCTTTCTCCTGTAACTGTATTCACAAGTAAATAAAATAGATTAAAAAAGTGAATGGCAGATTCGGTATGGGATATCCTAGACTGAAATCGACAAAATTGGTGATATATTGAAGATGTGTCAAATTGAAAATAAACTTAACCGATGAGCATGTATGTGTAGGCGTGTCAGAATCGTGCCAAAAGTAAGTCTCTGCCTACCCATCTAGGTACAAGCATGAATGTTTATGTTATATTATAGCTTATAACCTAATGAGTACAAACCTGTTCAACAACGTTTAAGTAAATCGAAATCACTGATCTATACTTCCCGCCAATAACATCGGCCGGCTCGTCCAAATACTTCCCTATCTTCTGTGCGGCATCTTCTACGCTTTCCAGCACATTGTGTTTGTCACTGGTCAAATATAGGAGCAGTGCTTGGGAGAAAACGGAAGCGAAACGCTTCTGAGTGTCGCCGACATCATCAGGTCCAAGAGCTCTGTGAAAGAAATCAGGCTTATGAAATTTGATAGGGTGAAATGAAATGAAAACTTTTTATTTTTCGACTAACTGTTACCGTTGAGGTTACAGACTATTAAAAGTTTACTGTCACATAGACAACATCATGGAGAAAATATTTACTATAGTTGCCACGCTTGGAAGGTGGACTGTCAACAGTAGATTTTTATTACTTAAGGTCGCTGCATACGTAACGATATGGTGACAAACGAGCATACGGTCCACCTGATGGTAAGTGGTTGCTGTGGTTCATAGATGTCCACATCCATTCTCGATTAATGAATCAAAACGCAGATGCATTGTCACCCGTGAGGACTAAGATGGAATGCGTGGCATTTCCAATAAAAAGATTCTCCGGTTCTCTACACTCACCATGCGAAACACAACATTAAGCTGCTATTTTACGTTGGTATTCTGTGAGAGCGTGTTCCTTCCGGTCGAGCCGACTCATTCGTATTACAACTATACTGCCACATATAAAAATGTGTAAGATGCTGCTGCCCATCTCCTGCTTTGTGTCCCTCTGCAGCCTCTTACGACACCCACGGGAAGATATGGGGTAGTGGATGTTCCTACACCGCTACTACACGGCAAACTGCTAATAATGTATTCTTTTGTTTAAGGATGCAATAAAGAATAAAATAAATAAATAAAAATAAATAATTTATCAACAAATACATACAGGCTCTGATAATAGTCGTGAGCAATCTGCTCCAACACGTCGGCCTTCCGCCATTTTGTATTCAGATCGGTAGACACAGCATAACATCCGCCGTGACAATACTTTATAACGGAAGCAGTTATTAATAGACCAAATAACCTGCAAAAGACATTTGATTATTAGTTATTTTAGTTATTAGTTAATTTTTCTTACCCTTAAAATAGGACTATAATTATTTCTTTTAATTAGGGCAGATTTTTCAACCGACTTCAAAAAGGAGGTACTCAATTCGACCGTGGTGAAACGCAACCGTCGGAACCTCTTCGCCACTTGGATAGACTACAAAAATGCGCTTAACTCGGTGCCCCATATATGGCTAAAGAGCCTCGAGCTGTACAAGATTGACTGTACAGTTAGAGACTTCCTCGAGCAGTGTATGGGGCAGTGGAGTACGATCCTTTGTCACCTGGGTGAGCGGATGACAGCTGCGGAAAGCCGCATAAGGATAAGAAGGGGTATCTTAAAGGGCGACTGTCTGAGTCCAATCTGGTTCTGCCTCTCTTTGAATCCTCTCTGTACTTTATTGGGGGGTTCCAGCAGGAGATTTAGCGATTTTGATGATTCTTTTTTTATTTGAAATCTGGTGCTTCTCATGTGGTCCAATATAAGTTTGATCAAAATCTGACCAGTGGTTTTTGAGTTATCCTTATTAATGCGTATTTAATTTGAAGTCTGTTGTACAAAATTTTTAATTTTGCCACGTGTTATCTTCATATAAAAGTTATTAGTACGTTAAAATTATTATGTAAACAAATAAAAAATACAGGTTTATGAATAAAATAGTTCATTTCTTTTATAATTTATTTGATGGGCTTTTATCCAACGACTGAAAAATCGGCCTTTAAAATAATAAATAGTACAAAAATATTAGCAGATAGAGATATACTTATATTTTACATGCGGTATAGCCACTCTGCAACTGTATTATACGGTTATACCACGCATTCACAAAATACCAGCGTAAAATAGCAGCTTTAAGCTGATGTTTTTTCATACGGTGAGTGCAGAGAACTGGGGATACATTTAACTGGAAACGTGGAATTTCATATTAGTCTTTTTGATTCCCAATCGAGAATAAATATAGATGTCTATGCGCTTCAGCCCTTATTCTATAAAAAAAAAAAACTAAAATTTCATACAATCCTAACGTATATTTTTTATTTCTGGTCTGACACTAGGCTTAAAACATTCTAACCTTCATCCGGGCTTATGATCGTAATTTCGCTTGAAAAGCTATGATATTGTGGCCGTGGAAGGAAAAGGGGAGATCTCTCGCCGGGCAAGGTGTTCTGCCCGGGGAGCGGCCGACACTCCAAGTGATAGTTCGGAGATGTTCTATATATACTGTTTCTGATTCGGAATGTTGATAGCGTGATTTAGACTTCGGTGTATTTTGATTGTGACGCGACGACAGCGCCGCTGCAGTATTAAGTAAAAATAAATTGCGCATTCTGACAAGAGTCCTTTTTTTTAATAGGATAGGTGACAAACGAGCACACAGTCCACCTGATGGTAAGTGGTTGCTGCGGCCCATAGACATCTACATCTATCCTCGATTACGAATCAAAATGCAGATGCGTTGTCACCCGTGAGGACTAAGATGGAATACCTCTTCTCCAGTAAAAAGGGTCTCCGGTTCTCTACACTCACCATACGAAACACAGCAGCATTAAGCTACTATTTCACGCTGGTATTCTGTGAGAGCGTGGTTTTTCCCTGGTCGGGCCGACCCATTCGTGCTACAACTATACTACTAATATAACTGCAGCATGGCTCTACCACGTATAAAAGTCTTGTCTGTTTTAAAAACTGTGTGATCTTAAAAAGCACATGGCCATCCTAGGACTAAGCAACTCAAGGATGCCTCGGCTCTGTTCCCTATCGGAAGAAACGCCCCTTCACATGCAAACGTAACACTCACCTGGGAAGCCATGTACTCCGCCCAGAAGAAGTGAAATTGCTCACAGCTAAGCAGCTCCTTCTATTCATTGACGACATAGGGCTTAGCAGTGAACTATAGCCATAGCAGCGATCACAATAGATCTTTTAGATCCTGATACTGGTCTGTTTTCCTACTAATTTACCGTTTTACTACTGGTCTGTTTCCATCACTCATCATTAATTTGCCGGGTTCCGGTTCGCTACACTCACCTTACGAAGCACAGTAACATTAAACTGCTATTTTACGCCGGTATTCTGTTTTTGCGTGGTCCACACGGGTTGAGCCTACCAAACCCGTTTTATCTTATTGTTATAAATTTTCTATATTATTATATTACGAAAATAAAACATTTTGATATACTTATAAAATAATTACCTCTTGGACAGCATCCTAGCCGCGTCGTATCTACAATTGTACTGCGACAAGAAACGATGTCGGGCTATTACGAAGGTTTTATTATTTTTTCATTACATGTCATAAAGATTGGCGTTTAGTACTTGATAAATATTTTAATAAATACAATTTTAGTACAGTTTAGTACAGTCAAGAGCGGTGATAGCTCAGATGGTTAGCGCTCGCTGTAAATTTCACAGTACGCGAGCAAACCGGGTTCGATCCCCGCCGGCACCAATGAAATTGTTAATTGAAATTTTAAGTGCTGATTTACCACGTGCTTGGCGGTGAAGGAAAACATCGTGAGGAAATCTGCATGTCAGAGAATTAAGAAAAAAAATATTTCGAAGACATGTGAAGTTCGCCAACACGCATTGGGGCAGCGCGGCGGACAATTCCTTGCCGTAAAACCCTCTCAGATATGAGCGGAGGCTTGTGCCCAGCAGGGGGACGTATATAGGCTGTAACTTTACTTTACTTTACTACAGTTTTAATTAAATATTCATTTAGCCGTGGCAGTTCAGTTGGTAAGCGTTATTCGAAGTAACCGAGTAAAAAGAGTTCGATTCTCGTCGAAAGTTCTGAAACTGTTACTGAAAATTTTAAATGGTGTTTACCACGTTCTCGGGCATGATAGAAAACTTCAATATAACATGAATATCTGAATATGGCCATATAGCTCGAAGAACCGACAACCGATGGGTAAAAATAGTGTTGCCCAAAATCGGTCTTGGTCTTGCGGTAACAACAAGACCGCCTAATTTTAGCAAGACCAAGACCAAGACTGACCGTGCAAGATTTGAGCAAGAACAAGACTAAGCCTGCGAGACTCTTGCGTCTTGCAGTTAGGAATGAGTGTCGTTTCAGGGAGTATAGGAGTTGGGGTAAACGCTTAGACGTAAAAAATATATAAAAAAAATTGGAAAATTGGACTTATGCGCATTACGAACAATACCATAAACATACACAGCGGATGAAAATATCCATTAAAAGAAAAAACAGTGCATCCCTAGTTTTGACCATCGGACACTTTGATAGTGCGCGGCGTCTTGTTGTCGGCATCATCAAAGGTCGAATACTGACCTGTTAAAGAAATTTTGCAGCTATTCGGAAGTACAAGGTCAAGATACACGCGCCGGCGGCTTCTATTGATGTCGCATTCAATCGTCGCCGCCGCTCCGCACGCACTACATTTGACACTGTTTGAATGCCACCACAGAGTACATGTTCCAAAGAATAAAATAAGTTTCCGGGTGCTCAGTACATTAGATCTCGCAAGGAATATTGTAATTAGATAATGGTAAGGACAGGTAGATACCATAATAATTTATTCTAGTAAGTGATTATTATAATATTAAATATATGGGTTTATAATAATTACTTACTATTATTATTATTACCTAATAGATAAACATGTTCAATAAGTTCACTGCAAATCTCGATTTTTGGAAGTGTGTGTTTTTGAACACAAAAACAAAAAACAAAGTGTTTGAATATGTCGTCACCCATTTGATAAATATTGTAGACACTTTTAACACACTTGAAACGTGTAAACATTTTGTACAGTGCTAATCGAATAATATAAAAAGTGTGCATATTAAATAAAAAGCGTAAAATAAGATCTATGTACTTTTTAGGAGCCCGAGTATCTCTTAGAGAACCGTTTAAAGAAATTGATTGCATCGAATTGTTGTAAATAATAGTGATTTGCACAATTTTAATAGTAGAAATAAAATAAAATCACAATACCTGCTTTCCGGTTACACAAAGTACATAATGCGTTCTTGGGTAGCGATATACGTTTTTATAATAAGATTCCAAAAGAAATTTTAGATCTTTCACCTTTTCAATTTAAGTCAGACAAAAATGCTTGGAACTGACCTCTCATACTACACAGGACTTACTAGAAATTTCTAAACCGATTTGGTATCTATATATACATTTGACATTTTATCTTTGACTTATCGCTTTACATAATTATAGAACTATTGTAAAAATATTTTGAAAAGAGCAACTACTGAGTTTCTTACTTTCTTCCATGATTCTTCTCAGTAGAATCAGAACCCCTGGACATGGAAAAGAAAAAATTGGGGAAAACAGTGATTATATGACTATTCAAAAGTGTATTTTTAATGCCTACTTGAATAAAACATATTTAAATTTTGAATTTCAAACGAGTGAAGGCAAATTTAATTTAATTAACGTAGATTAATTCAATCACAAGAAGAACATAATATACACAATTTTATTTACATATTTACATTTCATTTTTACGTAGGCACACTATACCTATCTGGCAACGCATTTACTTTATTAATCTTCTGAAGAATCATCAATTTTATCAAAGGATGCCGAACTTTCCTTTGTCGGTCTTTCGGCGTGTACTTACAAATAGTAGTATTTATTTTAATTCCAGTCATTCCCAATTGAGATTTGCTTCGAGTCTAATGTATTAATTGTTTTTACTCTAATCCTTGTTGTTCTCGGAGTGATAAGTTTATACAATTTGACATGAGTGACGAAGAGTTGAATAGTTCTAGTCGGAGTAGTGAGAGTTGGAGTTATAGATCTAAAAGACCTAAAAGTAAATTTGATGAGTTTTTAGACATAATTCATGCATCCCAAATTGCTTTGTGTAAATTATGCCAGCATAAAAAGGTTGAAATAAAAATGAAAAACAGAAACACTTCAGGCTTAAGGAAGCATCTAATATCTTTCCACAAAAAGGAATCACAAATATTTCTTCAAAATTTAAATTTAATTTTTCAAAATTAAGTGGAGATATCACAAGCTTTTTAATAACCACCGGAAAAAGTGGACAGGTAAGAAAAATATACTTATCATACAATTACATAATACATATATTATGTAACTAGCGGCCGCCTGCGACTTCGTCCGCGTACAATATATGATTTCCTATGAAATTTTGAAATTTTCTCGCTACAAAAGTCTTACCTAAGTATAAAGAGGCTATATAGGTAAAGCTTAACTATGCAAATATTTATTATTTAAAACTAATAAAGTAAATGTCGATCTTCATATCTATACTTTAAAAATATAGGACTTGCATGTAACCATTTTACCCCAAATTCACCCCCTTAGGGTTAGGATTTCGTAAAGCAGCTTATTCAGGATTTTATTATTGAAAAATTATAACATTAATGCCGATTTTCGTGTCTCTAACTTCAAAAACGTAGGACTTTCATACAAACTTCCAACTCCCATTTTTTAACGGCCCTTAGGGATAGATTTTCTCAAAACCGTTTCTTAACTGATCTCTATGCCATAAAAGGAACCTACCTTACAAACTTCAAGTTTGTATGTTGTATAGTTCCTGAGATATCGTTATAATCAGTCAGTGAGTGGTAGTTATCTAGTTATATATAGATTATAGTGTTAAATATGTATTTATAATTCACTCATATTTTCATTTGTTTTTATAATCGGCGAGACACATGATTTACTGTTTTATTTCAGTCTGAAAATAGCAGTGACAACATTACGACAGCTACAGTTGATTGGATGGTTAAAAATATCTTCCCTTCTCATTTTTCGATGACGAAGCTACAATCTAATTGATAATAATATTATTTGATCGAAAATATCAAATATACTTGATATTTTCGATCAATTTGCCCAAATATGATATTTCCTAAAAGGTCCACACTTAGAAGGAAGGTCAAAGAACGGTTTGAAGAGCTTCAATTGAATCTTAAGAAACGACTACAACAATTTTCATCTAAAATGTCATTTACCATTGATGGATGGACGTCAATTGCTGGTAGGAGTTACTACGTTATATAGACAACGAATGGAAGTATCGATCTGTAGTCCTTGATTTTATACCATCACGCGGTCGACATACTGGGGAAGATATTGTAACGATTTTCCACGAATGTTTATTGGAATATGACATAATTGTTAAAATACAGGGTATCACGGTCGACAACGCAACTGCAAATACCAAATTTATGTATGAATTGGACAAACAGCTGCCACACTTTGATTCAGACAATCAACATTTCCGGTGCTTTGCTCACATTTTGAACCTTGGTGTACAAGATTTATTAAAGACCTTACACATTACACAGTGAAAATGACAATAAGGGACAAGAACAGCAGTATGAAGATAATGAAGACGAAACTGAGGAAGATGAAGAATATGCGCCAAATATTGCTGACTCACGTACAGCTATAACAAAATTACGCAGTATTTCCAGTAAAATAAAAAGAAGTGAGATATTGAATTTATTTAAGGAAGTTTCAGTCTGCTTGTGAAGCAGCTGGCGTGCCATAAAATCTGAACCCCATACTCGACTGTCCAACGAGATGGAATTCCACACATGATAAGATTGGATTTGGTTTAAAACTGAGAACTAGCATTAACATATTGTGCACTTCTGTCACCGAATTGAATGATTTTCAAATCACAGATAGTGAATGGCAAATACTCGAAAAAATACAACTAATTTTATAATAAACTTTAAACTTCTATCAACAAAACTTGGTGGAGAAAAATATGTTACATTACCGCTAGTCATTGTATCATTCAATCTCTTGCTCGATAAAATTGAATCCATGGTAAAACAATTAGATGAGAAACCTAATCGATCCGAAGTGGATGAAAGGCTCATTCTGGGTTTTCGAGCAGCTCGAGACAAAATGCTTAAACATTATAAAAAGAGCAACTGGATTTGTTGTACCTCTTTAATTTCAGACCCAATTCATAAGACTCAGACTTTTGACATGACATTATGGGGGAAGCAAATTAAAACAGAAAGCCTGCGCAAACTTAATGAACTTTATAAAGAATATAAAAGTCTACACTCAGTGAATACATCTCTAGAATCACCAAGAAATGAAAAGAAAGTATGTGAATATGATGAAGATGAAGACGTAATTGACTTTGAGAAATTGTATGCATGTTCCTCGACGTCATCTGGATCTGGATCTTTTCATCAAGGATTAGTTATAGACGAGTAGGAGGAGTATCTAA